CACTGTCCAACTGCAGCTTTTGTCATAAGGGTGTGTGGGTTGCCCTCGTCAGTGTGTACACTCAGGGAAAGCACAAGTGTCCTGTAAAGGGAAAAAAACCTGAAGACCGTAGTAAAATGCAATAAATACCTTGAGTCTCCTGATGTGAATTTCAAGTTTAGTCTGCTAGTGAATACTCTCACGCTCAGTAGAGCCCCAGGAACAGGCAGAGCCAGGCGTCTGCCGTGCATGCTCCCCTCCTTCTGGCTTGGATTCTTCTAGTAAAACCCAGTTGTGCAAGGGCTGGGATCAAAGGCCTCAGACGCCTAACTGGATTCATCCAAGTTGTGTGTAAAGCCTTTAGATGCAATGAAAACCAGAGTATTTGCTTTTATTCGTGGGTAGTATTAAGCATGTTAGACAAGCATATGCTTAAGAACGGCTGTTACAGTGTGGGAAAAACGGCAAGCGAAGCTTTGATAAAGATACAGCATTAGGAAATCTGCTTGCTGCCTCCCTTTTTCTTCCCCTCTTCAAACGTTTTGCAAATAGCGTTCAGACGACCGTTTGATCTTAAATTTGCCTGTCAGCAAAGGCTCTGCAGTTCTCTCAGGAATTAGCAAATCATAAAACAGGGTTAACAGGAGTGTATCGTGGGCTGCTTTTAAATTCCTCCCTTGCATGAGCCTCAGAACTGCCCTGGAAATTTCTTGCTAGAAAGTTTATCTTAAAAAGACCCGGAGCTATTTCAAGCTCCATTGTTTCTTTTTAGATCACCTGTTTAGATGCATCTGTTTGATGTCAGATGTTCAATTTTATCCAAAGAAGCATCTCTGGGGAAACAGGGTGGATTGAAAATTTGAGTATCTTCCACACTAGAATACATTCTCTCCTTCAAACACGCCTGTAGAAGTGTCACAGCAATCAGTAGGGTATCAAAAATACTTCTGGTGTTCAGAGTAGGTTCTTCTTACTTGCTGAAGGTCTGGGGGCTTTCTGATTTTTCCCCACTCCCTTCCCTTACACAGAGGGATTTACACAGCCCAAGTGGTGTGAAGTCCCCTGCCAGAGAGCAGCAACAGCTTCAACCTTGGGCCTGACGTGCTGCCTGCTGCTTGGCAGCAATTAGTACTGGCTGTGCTGAGCGAGGGGCCTGCTGGATATGAGGCCGAAAGGGGCTCTGGCCTTTAATTAGTGTATTTATACACATAGCTGAAAGGCTGGGGAGAAAGTGTCAGCCCCTGTTAGTTACTCTGTCAAATGGAGGTTTCTTTTGGTTTTTGTTGAGATGGGTTTTGTTATTGTTTGTCCCCTCATTCAGGCAGAGCCTGTACAGCAGGTTGGAAGTAAATAATTTATTCTAGCTTCAGAAATAGGAATGGGGCTTACGTTCCTTTTAAGTTTCTGAACTGACTTTTGCATGTACAGGAAAGGTCCCTCTCTCCCTCTGTGTATGCGGCCATGTATGAGACCTTAGCTGGCTGATCCAAATGTCTGTACAGATTAATGATTGCCAGAAAAACTGTGTCTTGGTGTGAAAGGTGAGTCCCGTGTCTGCTACGTTCCTCTTATGGAAAAACAATGGTAAATGATGTGGATTGCCTCATTGCAGGCTCTTTTGTGAGGAGGGCAGAGCTCATCAGTGCCCTTGCTTATCGTACCAAGCACAAACTGCCCCCCCCAAGCAAGACAGCTCCAGAGCAGCATTGCATTGGCCTCCAGCTACAGGCTTAGTATGTGTCCTGGGTTAAGCTAAACAGAACCCATTCTGTTCAGTGATTCTACTTTTCAGCTCAGTTTCCTCTAAGAGGCTGCACTTTCTGAAGTTGGCAGCATGTTTATGCAGGCAGTGCCTGCTGCTAGCAGTGATATAACACCTGATGTTTGCAGTTACTGCCTGGGACTGGGATGTAGAAAAGCTCTTGCTGATACTTCTATAGTGACCAAGGTCACTGCTGGGAGTTGTGTGGCACGTCGGCGTGCTGGGAAATGAAAGGGGTCACAAGGAATTAAAAGATCACACCTCCAGGGAGGAGCAGACAGTACAAGTGACCAATGAGAGTATTCCATTCCATATATATCATATTCAGTGTTAAACTGAGGGCTCATGGGGTTAAGTTTTTTTTTTAGTGGCCAGCATCCGAGGAGCACTCTGGCAGTTTCCATTCTTCTGCCTTTGATCTCAATCCTGAGTTCCCAAATCCAGCCCCCATGTCCAACTCCCTGCCACCACTGAGCCTGCGGCTTCCCCAGTGCCGCCTGCTCTGCAGCATCAGTGGGGATTGCTACTGGAGGGGAGTCGGGTTCGATATTGGATTCGTTTATTTAACCCTTATCAGTTATTAGTATTTTATTAAAGCTGTTTAGTTTTCTTTTCCAATCCGTAAGTCTCTGTCTTGTTCCTTTTCCCCTCCTGTTTGGGGAGGGAGAGGGGTTAGAGAGCATCTGTCACCATTTAGTGGCCAGCCCAGCCCTAACCTTAGACAGCACAACACGTCTTAGTCTACTGACTTCAGAAAGGTGATTCAAAAGAAGGGTAAAAATAAAACATTTTTTAAGCAGTCCTTTGTTGCCACTGAAAGAGTTACGTTATTTAGTGGATTTTTTTGTTAAAGGCTGTTTCTAGTCTGGTGTTGGAGCTTTATAGGCTAGCTAGTAGAACTGAGTGTTCTCATTACACAAACTTCACAAAGAATGGATTTGAGAGCTGTAAGTACCTTGTAGGCATCATTTTTTGCATGCTTAGCTTGTGCAGTAAGCTGTTCTTGAAACGAATTTCAAAATTGTTTTTTTACTATATATTTTGCACCCCTCTTCCTCTTTCCTGGTAGTATGTGTTTTTATGCATTGTGGCTTTATGGGCATTATTATCTTCAAACGCAGAGGATGAAGAGTTAATTATTCGCTTTTCTAGGAAGTGGAAACTTGTATACATCTAAACCTTGTTTAGACACTGAAATCCGCATTACTGGAATTCCCTTGCCCAAATGGTTTTTGGTGTGGGCTCCAGCAATGACATGGAGTTAAAATATGCCTAGTAATTGTATGGTCAGCAGTTAAGTCCCTGACGAGAGCCAAGCAGCCTAAATCCACCTGAGGAAACAATGGAGGCTGAAGGAGGAATCTTGGTTAAAACTCAGGGCTTTGTCAGAGGATCAAAATTTAATTAAAAATAATCTCCCTTTGACGTGGTCTCTGCACAGCAGCCTTCCTGCTGCCCCCACTCCTCACCTACAGCTTGTCTGTGTAGAAAAGAGGCTGCTTTTGCGCAGTGGGGCTTTAGTGGTGGTTTTTCTTCTCCTATGTACTTTCTTGCATGTTCAGACCAACCTCCAAACGTGCTGTCCCATATGCTGAAGCATATGTATTTAGTTACTTCCATTCATATAGTCAAATTCAGTTTAAGGCTTGATTTTGTTCTCACTTTGTTGAATTTCAGTTGCTTCGCTTGCTTCTGACATACTCCAAAAGGGTAGGTGAATCTGGGGGAAGTTAGGCTCTGTGAGCATCTCCTGGTGTGCTGCAGAGGTCTGTCGTTCTGCCCTTTGCAGTTGAAACTTTGTGCTGTGTTAGTGGCTCCTGTAGCCCAAGCAGGTGCTGTCATTGGATCTTTGGGGGTTCAAGTTTCTTGCAAGAACTGCATAAAAGTCTCTTTCTACTGATCTTCGGCTCCATCCCAGGGGAAGCCTCCGGGAGGAGTTTATGTGGTGCTCCACACGTGCTGTGGCACCGTTGTGAGGTTCAGACTTTCTCTGGGTTGACCACCACATCCCTTGGATGGTTTGGTCGTGTGGTTTTTCACCAGTCATATCCATAGCCTTTCTCAGTTGCTGTGGCGAGCTGATGTCTTCTCTTTCAAGGAGGTTGTAGGATATTGTTAAAAAGAAGGCTGATGGACCCTGGATGA